CTTTCCCTTTGGTAACTGTTAGCCCATTCTTGGGTTCTGTGAGTCTGCTGCTATTTTTTTCCTTCAATTTTTCCTTTGTTCTTATACTCCACAGATGAGTGAAATCATTTGATACTTGTCTTTCTCTGCCTGGCTTATTTCACTGAGCATAATACCCTCTAGCTCCATCCATGCTGCTGCAAATGGTAGGATTTGTTTTCTTCTTATGGCTGAATAGTATTCCATTGTGTATATGTACTACATCATCTTTATCCATTCATCTACTGATGGACACTTAGGTTACTTCCTTTTCTTGGATATTATAAACAGTGCTGTGATAAACATAGAGGTGCATATGTCTTTTTCAAACTCGGCTCCTGATGCTGCATTTCTTAATATAGTTTCCTTATCTCCCAGAGTTCCTGAGTGGGCCATGTAGGTAACACTATGTGATAGATGTGGGTCCCGTCAAATCTAGACAGCCCAGGCTTTACATTATTATCATGAAAGTATCTAACCATTCATGCACTGCTTTGTAGGAATGTGTATAAATATAAGGTTCTCCTAATTCAGTATGTAAAAGTATATATATACAGGCCCAGTGTCATCCCAGCCATACCTCTTTCAGGGGCAGAGAATGTAGAGTCCTTGTTCAGGTATCTCTGAACAATAATTTACCTGAGTGTAGCTTTCCAGTGTCCTGGGTAGTCCATAGCACTACACATTCCTTGTGATAATCCATAGGTTCAGACATACTAAATCAAATCATATGCTGTCTCAAGTATATTGTATCTCAGTTATGTCTAGACAAACTCTGGAATAATGGAGTTATCCCTAAGGTTGGGGATAAGTTATAGTCTCTTCATTACTAAAGGACAGCACCCATTGGTTGGATTAATAAACAATAAAAATATAAGTGGGTAGTTGAAGCATGCAGAAGTTAATCTAGAAGAGCTTCAGGTAGTGGAACTTAAGGGTAAACATCAGAAACAACTTGGACAAAGGCTAAAGCTTCTAGAGGGAATTTTATACTCAGACATTAAACAGTTAGACAGCTTTGTTAGAGGATAAAAACTAGACTTAAGAAGGGACTACAGCAGGTGCAGATGAAAAGCCAGTAACTGTAAACATTTGAAATTTGAATCTGCAGGATAAAAGGGAACTTTGAAGGGCTTAAAAAAGAAATGAGAGGTCTGTTATAGTGGTTGATTTTCCAGGACCTAATGATTGGGTACTGGACATTCCATCCATTTTCCTGAGTTAATATTTTGTCTTGAATTAATCTTTATTGACAATAAAAAAGTATAGTAAAAATCTTCAAAAACAGGAAGAGAATTTGTGTTACTATGACTTAAGATTGATACTCTAAAGTTGTTTCATATATTCTTAAATGGATCTTAATCATAAGAAGATAAAGTGAACCAACCAGATTCAAGCTGCCTTGTGTTTTACAGTAATTAAATCTGTGCTTCCATATATTTCTTTCTGAGTTCACTTTGAATACATTCATAAGGTTGTGGTGAATTAAAAACTCAGAGCAGTACAACATTAACTGTCTTAGTGGCTAGTCTAACACAAAGCTTTATATATCATGATTCTCAGTAAAGGACTGTGACTAAGAATCACATTCTTCTGGTATAAGTTATAAGCAAAAGATGTCCATCTGTTATTGATAACATTAGCTTGTACTTCCCTCTATTCCAGGAGACAAAGTACAACCCCATCTCATACTTATTACAGGGATTCAGATCTTTCCAATCAAGTCATGTTACCCTTGGGAATATAACCACCAGCTATATACGTAACATAAAGCCTGAAGTAGCGTGGCTAACACAGACGTGTGCAGAATCTTCATTTCATCTTCAGTATGATTGAACTGAGATCCAGGGACCTGTCAAAGCTTGCTTTCCCATATACATCATTAGACATGCTTGATTAATAACCTGTCTTAGGATCTTTGAATTTCTAACATACCATTAATTCATTGTCTCATTTTAATTCTTCTTTCTGACATTTGTATTTGTATTGCATATACTTCTACATACTGATACTTGTACACCAACAGAATTAATTGAATTCTCAGTTATAGCCAGTAGAGGGAGGTGTGTAGAAGTATAACACATTGTACTTACCTCTGGCCTGTTATTCTAAAATTGACCCTGTAGTCCGTCACTAGCCTGAGGCCTGGAAAGCTGTCTAGTGATTTCCATTGTATGAAGTGCTCTGGAATGTTACAGTTTGCTTAGAAACAATCAGTAATGACTGCTGGCTATATAGCAAAGTCCTCTGTGTAACAGAGAAAATTAACGGTCTTTTAAAACAGATGTTAATTCAGTGAAACTTGTTAGCACTTAATACACAGCTTTGGAATCCATAGATGTTCACCTTGGCAGGTTTTTACCAGGTTAATTCCCTGATTTGGGGCAACCATTCCTAATCCTCAGTAATGTTTACTACAGACCCTCTAATAATTGAAAGCTTTGACCACCCCACCAGAAAGCCTACCTTTCTGAACCTAATTATTAGGAGTGTGAGATTAATATAGTCTCTTTTACCATTTGTCCTCTCAGGACTATTCTTTACGAGCAAAAGTTATTTATACCCTTGATGGAGGTAGGAGACCCTAAGGCTATTTATATTAGGCATTTCTTTTTTATTGTTTTGAAAATAGCTAATGTTGAGATGTAAAGGTTTTCTAAGTTTAGATTTTTGGGTATATATAGGTATTTATGGTAATTTTGACACTTCTTAGCTATAAGAGTATAATTTCATAAATGCCATGAAAGTAATAGTCTTTTCTTTTACGTATATGAAGATAATGCCAGTAACTGTACACCTTTTGATTTACTTTCTTAGTTGTAACAATGAATTTTTTATGATGCCTTCTTTCACCTCTACCCTTCTTCCATGGGTTATATTGGTTAAATAATTAGTCCATGTTAATAGAACCTTCTAGGTTATGAAACTGCAAAATCAGCTGGTTTATAATAGGATTGAGCCTGGAACCTTTATCTCAATCTAGAACTCTAGGCAACTAAATTTAAAATAATAAATGCACTAATATTTTTATTTAATATTCTTTGTTATAAAACAATTTTGTGTGAGGGTCATTTATCAAGGTCTTTTTCCATTGGAATTTGCTTATGAAAAATAAAAAGGAACAAGAAGACAAAATCTTCTCATTATCTCCCTGGGGCAATAATACTTTAAGGTTCCAGCTTTTAGTTAATACATTAGCCCCTTCTGGATGAGCTTATTTTAGGAGACCTTAACTCCCAAGTCAGATTTAAAACATCAAGCCATTTTCTGTAAGAAGTTTGCCTGGTTTTTCATGCTTAGATCATTTAGCTTTGAGAAGCAGTTCTTTAAATAGAGACTTTCTGAGCAAAAGCATGAGCTGACAAGCAGGAGTTTAAACAGTGAGAGTTGCTGACTAGAAGATTGTTGATTTCCTTCATGTTTTTCACTTCAAAATGTTTTCCCTTTCTTCCCCACCCAGTTAATACACTGTTAAATGTGAAATTAAGTGAAACAGAAAATGGCAAGCACGTGTCTATATTGGATCTTCCTGGAAACATCCTTATCATCCCTCAAGCCACCCTTGGGGGAAGAGTGAAAGGAAGAAACATGCAGTATCACTCTAACTCCGGAAAAGAAGAAGGGTTAGAACTTTACTCCCAGTTTGTGACTCTGTGCGAAGAAGAACTAGCTGCTAACAGCAAGTGCGCCGAGGCTGGGGTTGTGGTGGAGCACGGTACCTACGGGAGCAGGCAGGTGCTGCAGCTGCATACCAATGGGCCCTACACACACCTCATTGAGTTTTAAAAAATTAAAAGCTGACACAAAGTGATCTGGACCATAATTAGATTTTCTTCCCTTTCTTCTCTAATACACTAATCTGCAGCACTTTCAGACAAAAAAAAGTCCTGGGTCCTATCCACAACTGTGACTTACTAATTGGGTGATCTTGCCAAGTTAGTTACACGTTAGATCTCAGTCACTTTTCACAGCTTTTCCCTACACTTCCACTTAAAAATTTGAAAAATGCTTTCTGTTCACTCTATGGTTATTGTGGAAATGTTCTTAGAGAGGTGTATGTAAGTATTTTGCAATGAAGAATTTTGTGCCATCAAGAAAAATATAATTCTTATACCCTTAAATATATGTAGTATGTAATAAAAATGCCTTCACCTTAAAATTAAGTGAAAATCCAAATCTATTATACTTTTGTCAGTTCTGTTTTACTATTTCAGTTTTCCATATTTTGAGTGAAAAAAAGCAATTTACTATTCCTTTTAATATCTATGATACAGAAATATAACTGCATTATAATATTAGTTCCAAAAGACATCTAGTTGCTTTAAATTATTTTAAGAGTCTTTAGTTGACATAGAAAGAAGATACATGGATTAAAATTTGTTTTATTAAATATACCAATGGGTTAATATTTCTGTTTCTCAGTGTTTTACCAAAACAATGTATATATCATTTTCTGTCATTGGTTTAGAAAAGTTACTGCAATTAACTTTCATGAAAAGTTCATGAAATTAGTTCATAAATTATTTAGGAAGTTCCTTTCTTCTTGAATTAGATTGCTACAAAAGGAAGAAAAAGAGAAGCTTTCAACTGGTATTATTTGAAAACAACTTGACTTGCTCATTTCCAGATTGTCTACATAATGATTTGGAGCCAGGGCCATTTTTCTCTATTAGTGAATGTTTTTGTCCCCCTCTACCCTGAAAGTTCATGTTAAAGTCCTCCAGTGTGATGATATTTGGAAATGGACCCTTTGGGGTGTAACCAGGATTTATGAGGTCCTAAGAGTGGGGCCCTTGTGATAGGATTAGTGTCTTCATAAGAAGGGACAGAGTTTGCTTGCTCACTCCATCATGTACGGATGCCGTGAGAAGGTGGCCCTTTACAAGCTGGAGGAGAACCCTTATGAGAAGCCAACCATGGCGGCATCTTGACCTTGAACCGCTAGCCTCCAAAATTGTAAGAAAGTAAATTTGTTGTTTAAGCCACCCAGTCTATGGTATATTGGTACAGCCCAGACTGACAGTGATGTAAGGTAGACAGCTAATAAGGTAGATTTTTCAGAGACAAGAGAGGAAGGTATATAAGAAATTGAGAGAATAAATGAATCAATGAAAGGTAAGGATTCTTATAAACGTCTCTGACTTGATTTTAAAAGATACTCTAAAAACAACCAAATACTTCAAATTACCAAAATGATGAAGAAATTAACTGGAATAAATATTTTAAGTAGCTGTTGAAAATGCCTTTGTGTCTTTTAATTTCTTTAGGTCTATTTCCTAAGATACTTAAAATTTTTTTTACAAAAATCCTATTTTTTCTATATCCTTCCTGTACTATTCTATTTTGGAACATGAGAATCAATAACTGGCTTGGTAAAGAGCTCATTGTCCTTAACTTTTGCTTTATTGATTCATGATATACTTATCGAAATGTAATAAACTATTCATAAACTTGCAAACTCCAATTTTCCCAAGGTTCCTTCAAGAAGGCTATGTCTTTCAAGAAGACTATGTGTTACTATTTTAAATCATTTTTGTGTGTAAGTAAAATGCTTACTCACAGCCTTAGATTGCTGTTTTATAGTTCAGGCAATTCTTTTAAAATATTTGCTTGAGGTACTTATGGTGAACAGCAGTTTCAATTTCTAGAAGGTGAGAGCCAATTTTGCAATTCCAAGAAGGCTGGAACAAGAAAGACAAGGCAAGAAAAATGGAAACACCTTGGCTTTTTTCTGATGCAAGGTGCTCAAAGAACCTTCACTAGATACTTCATTTTATGTTCACATATTATAATGAGGATAGTGCTGTGGAAAGTAATTTGGGATAATTTCCAGCCTCTTGATTTTTCTTGTGAGAGCTGTTGAAATTGATCTTGGTAAAGGGTTAGCATCTCTCAGTGTGGATCAGTTGAGAAAGAACAGCCAATAAATGTACTAAATTAGGTGGTTGTAGGGTTGCACTTCATTTAGGTGACTTCCGCCTCTTTTTTCCTAAGATCCTAGAATGTTTCAATTAAAATATCACTTCTAAATATAATTTGTCCATTTAGAAACTTCATGGATTCAATTATAGAAAATACTGTATATAATCAATGAGTATAGTTTTAGTATCTTGAATATACTTGCATGAAGTAAAATCAAACACTTGTACCATTCCTTTATTAGTTCAAGTCAAAAGAAGGTTTACCATTTATGAATAATATCTATTGATATTATTTCACTACATAGTGAAAGGATAAACATCAAATATAAGGATCAAATACTATAGAATCTGATGGCACTTTTTATTGGAGAATAAAAATTCAATGACGACGTTAAATTATTACAATTATGATTAACATTAAAGGGGACCTGGCTTGTTAATAAATTTATATTTTAAACCACATGATAAACTAATATAAGTGCCATATCTATTAATTTATTGGAATAAGACTAGTTTTGGAAAGGGAAGAACTACTAAAGTACTACTTTCATTCTGAAGCTACACCTTTGTAATGATTTTAAACGTCTGTTTATTTTGATAGTCTCCTAATTATTCTCCCTCCTATTTCTATCTTTAATCCTTTTTTTTACAGACTATCTCCAAGGTAATTTTCCTAGAACATTCTTTTCTCCATGATATTTCACCATTCAAAAACAACTCTTTTATCTACAGAACAAAGTCTAAGCTTTTGAGGCTGGCATGAAAGTTCTCCACACTGTAGAAATGAATGAAATCATGCAGGGAGAACTGTAACAGACCAAGGACAGAATCTGAAGAAAACATAAAGGGTAACATGAGGCCAGAGGACACTGTAGAGATCAGGGAGATAGAAAGTACTGGAAAAATGCATTGTTAACAGAGGTAGGTTTCAAGATACAAACATTGACAAAGTTGGTGTCATATGTGAAGAAACCATGAAAAATGGTAACAGACTGAGGAGAGACCTCTGAAACTTGCAGTTAGGTGTTTTGATCTTATGGAAAATTGGGGTAAAATTTCCAAGTTAATAGAAGTACAATGTTTAGTACACATGGTATGGGAGGGGTCACAGGGAAGACAGTGTATCCACAGAGAGGGCAAATAGTGAATCTGTGGCATCTTAATACACTGCTGGACAGTGACTTGCATTGGGGTATGGGTGGGGACTTGATAATATGGGTAAATATAGTAACCACATTGTTTTCTCATGTGAAACCTTCGTAAGAGTATATATCAATAAGACCTTAATAAAAAATTTTAAAAAATATTCTCCCATGGAAAAAAAAAATAGAAGTAGAAAAAGATTCTGAAGCTTTTGTTCTAGGGCAGAGTTCTAAAAGTGTTCCAGTAGACAAGACCACCTGTACAGGAATCACGTGGGGAACCTAACGTTTTTAACAAAATTCAGTTTTCTATAACCATCCCAAACTTACTGAATCAGAATCTCAGGAGTTAATATCTATCTAGTCCCCAGTCTCCCCAGGTGATTGTGTACACTGGAATCCCAGAAGCAGTTACTCAGAATGAAGCCCAGACTTCTAATGCTGGCTGGTATCATGGTTTTATAATCTGATTCCAGCTCAACTTTCTAAAACCTTCCACTTCTCCCCTATAGAAATTCTTCAGTATAACTCACCCCAGGTGATTGTGTACACTGGAATCCCAGAAGCAGTTACTCAGAATGAAGCCCAGACTTCTAATGCTGGCTGGTATCATGGTTTTATAATCTGATTCCAGCTCAACTTTCTAAAACCTTCCACTTCTCCCCTATAGAAATTCTTCAGTATAACTCTTGTTTATATTTTTCTTACATCACACCTATACCTAAGTTGCCCTCTGCTCTCCTCTAAATCCATCATCATTCAATGTCTAGCTTAAGTCAATCTCTTCTGACCCCACAATAATTTCTCTTGCCTCTACCTTCTTCAACATTGTGGTTGTCTATGATGTGTCTTGACACTTGTGATGTGTCTTACAAGGTGGAGTACTTTGGCTTTAATTCTTTTATGTTTATATGTCTTAACTGCAAGAGTATAAATACTATTGGGCAGAAGCAATATAATAGTAAGCATACATAGTATAATTTGTTTTTATCTCCCACAGTACTTCCATAGCACAGTTGTCCATGCTCAATAAATATCAGTAAATATCTATGTAAATATCACAATACAGAGATATGTCAGTGACCAGAATACTCTTCGTCTGGGTTCATTTATATCAGTATTTCAAATACAGATTTCTTTGCCATTAAGAAATAGAGATTGCATTGAATGTATCACCTCAAAAGTCAGCATGCCGAAACCAAATTCACATCTTTCAAGAAAAAAAAAAATCTCCATATTCTGGCAGATTATATCCAGTGACCAGAGTCAAGTCTCACAGTAACTTGCTGAGAATTATAAAGGCTTGGTGGCTACCAAGAGCTAAGAAGGAGTTATGGTTTAACAAGTGTTGAGTTTCAGTCGGGCAGATCAAAAAGTTGTGAAGATAGATGATGGTGATGGTTGCACAATGATGGGAATGTATTTAATGCCATTGGACTAATTTTACAGTAATTTAAGTGGTAACTTTTATGTTATTCATACTTTACCAAAACTTTTTAAATTAAAAAATACAATCAATGTTTAAAAAAAAAAGAGAGATTGGACTGTGAACAAAGCAAGTTTAACATGGCTACCCTTTGTTTTTAATACAGTAGGTAACATCAGAAAAGTTAGAGACAAACCGTAATGGATTTTTGAGACTGAACACAAATGTGGGCATTGCTGTTTCTATTTTATCAAAGTGGTCACTTTACATTTTATTGTTTCACTCTATAGTATCTTTCTAATATAGTACAACTGTATTCATGTAATAACTTACCTAAAAAAAGGCACATAAAAAGCAAGCCATTCTTAAAATGCAGAAGAGAAAACCTATTTCATTTAAGGAAACCATATTTGAATCCTTCATAAAACAAACTTTTTGTGAACCAAATTAAGATACCTTTATTTTATTTATAAATACGAATTTTGATGCAACAAGCTTTATTAAGTTTATTTAATTACAAAATAAAGCAATTCTGGGTGATGCATCATAAATAACTAACTTCATGATAAATATAACGTTACTTCTTTTTACTGGTCTTTTCCATATTCTTTGCACTGAGCCAGCATTTTTTTCTTAAGCTTAATGAAATTCGACCTATTACATCAGCTTTTTTTCTGAGTGAAAAGAATGTATGTAGAGAACGCACCACACCCTGAATAACAGTATCTGAGAACCATTAGTTCATGCTGTTATAAACTGCTGGGGTTGGGAAAGAAATTGTGGACTTTTCTTTGGAGATGTTTAAGTATTTTTCAAAGATATGGGAGAGATATGGAGTTTTTCTTTTTTTAAGGAATGTCTGACCATACTAGCAAAAATGCCACTCTTGGCTCCAACTATGAGAT